TCGCCAGGAACATCGGCAGGCAGTTTGTTCTCCATGGCTCATTCAGTCAGAAGATCATCAAGGGGGGAAAGTTTAGAGGCGCTTTTACAGTACAGACACCTGTTGCCTAGGAACTGGATTGAGACACCCACACATTCCACCCAGGTCCCAAAGAGCCAGGGCATCTCAGACAGCTGTTGGGTGGATCAGGCAGCTATCTAGCAGTAGTTTGACCTGCTCTCTCAGAGAAATCAGGACACTGAGATCAGCTCTCTTTTCCACAGCATTCCCCAGTTCAGCAGGGCTTGGCAGTGTTGTAGGTGGCAATTCCATGAGGACAAAGGAGCTGCCATGCTGGAAGCAGAAGAGGTGCACAAAGGGGGTCTCACATTACCAGCATGGAACGAGAATAGAGAGAATTGTGACTGCAGGGATAGAGCAGCTACCCACCAGGCAAAGAAAAGGCCTCAGAAGGGGAGAAAAGGGATGAAATAAACCCTATTTCATGAAGGCCCAAGTCTCAAAGATCCACTCCCCGCACCTCCATAGCCTAACATGAAGTATTCCACAGGGACTGCTGTCATGGGAGTCAAGTTGAAGGAGAGGGGCTCAGGATGGACAGAGACAGGTAATTAGCTTCCAGAGATTTTGGGTCAAGTTTTAGTCTGGAGTTTACTTTTATAACCAAATTACAAGCACTCAAGAAACAGGTATTTATGATACCTCCTTTAACTGCCCCAGCATTATCACAGGCCTTCTGTTCTGCCTGGAGATTTGCCGATAGGTCCAACACATAAATCAAAATCAAAGTTCTAAACATGGAGCTGAAAGAATCCAAAAGAGTGAGGTAGATGGCTGAACAAAGAGATTTCAGAGTGCCTGGCTCGCAGTCTAGTCCTGCCTCTGACACTGACTTGTCATGCGGCCTCAGTCAAGTTACTTAACTTCTCCGTCCCTCAGTTTCTCCCCAAATGTAAAATAGGAAGGATTATATATCTTCTGTCCTACTTCATCCGGGGTTTGTGAGGATTAGCTAATATGCATACAAGTAACCTGAAGTTAAAGTGCTAAAGATATCTTTAGGTGTAGAAAAAAATAAGTTGTATACACACAGATGTTGCACACAGTCCTACTGATTAATCTGCAGCACCTGGGGAGTAAAGATGGAATCTCACACACAGAGCTCATTGTGTCCCTCAAGGGGAAAAACAATAGCGACTTCACATTACTTCCTCATTTAAATAAATGGCAGTTAAAAATCAATTCACATCACTTTGTTCCTCTAAGGCTGGTACTTACGTGGGTCCAAAGGAGTCCCCAACTTTCGTAGGTCTGAATTCTTGTCTGACAGCTTCATCATGTGGGATTCGCTGAGGGGTCTGGAAGCAGGAGAGAGACACCAGGGGGCAGGTGTCCCCGAACAGCCTGCAGTAAAGATGACAGGCAATAAAGCCAATCACCCCAAGGTACAAGGATTTTTTAATATCCCATCTCCTAGAACTGGAAGGGACCTTGAAAGGTCAT